AAAAAAAAAAAAAAAAAAAAAAAAAAAAGGTTCACAGAAAATAATCAACTATTTAAGATAATTGTATTACAGGCAAAGGACCCAACTAACGTTCCCAACAAGAGCCAACAGGGTACTGAAATTCTTCATACAGTATATACTTTATCTCTACAAAATCTCTGACAGTATTACAACTATACATACTAGATGAAAAATTCTCTTAATTTAGGGGCCTTGGAATCCATGTCTCTGTTCATCAAAGTCTGATATATGATTTAATAGAAAAAATATTTTAAATTGTCAATCAGTATAAAATACAGTAGAGAAACTGAAAACAAAATAGTTTATACCAACTTTAGTTCTATAAGATTATATAGTACTAAGGTTGAAATAAATTATCTATTTAGAAACGTAGAACCTCACCCAATTTTGTTTTGTGTATGAAACTGGTATTTTCATCTGCTTTACATGTTCTACATTTCTTTTGCTGAGAGAGTCTGCTGTATATATTCAGCTGAGCCCAGGAGCACCAAGGACACCAGCTTAACAGACTGTCTTTATAGTAAATGTAGCTGTTAAAATAGAAGACAGTTACATTAAAAAAACAAACAAACAACCACATTCCATCAACATAATCTGAGAGTCCCCGGGTCAATGAATACTTTACTGTACTATCTTTGGGGAATGTACTGGGCATGGATCACCTCTCAGGTTTTTATTTAAAAGTGTATGGGGCAATAATGCCACATATTTTCTATTTTGAAGTAAAGTCTTTCAAGAAGAAACAGCAAAACGAAGGCAGTCGGAGTAGAAAAAATGAAATGTTAAGTGTCTCTGAAGATTCTGCATTCAGCTGTATGGATCTTGCACCATCTTACCGAGTAGCTAAAATTAGCAAAGGATGAGCTGGGAAGTCACAAGTAGGTTTTACAATAAGTAACCTCTAATCATCTACCTCTAAAGCACAGAGTCTAATAAAATGATTCAATTAGCTACCCCAAAAGTGGAATTTATGATACTTCTTAAGAGGATGCCAGTAGGAGACAGTGGAAGTAAACACAGTAAGCTGCACTTCTTTTGTGACCTTTTGCATAGTCATTTAAGCTAATTCTCAGTCATGTGAACAGGGTAAATGAGAAGTGATTGGAGGACCTGAAGAAGGTGTGGTGTGCCTTTAATTAAAACACCTTACAGTGGCATGTAAATCAAAATGGTAACACTGCCACAATTTAGACGCTCTTGCTGACAATAAATTCAGAAGACAGAGGAATTGAGGTAAGGGGTATATCATAAAACCCAAATGGTTATATGGTAAATATATGGTATATATATATATATATATATATATATATATATAAAATACGGTGGTTATATAGTAAATAATTAGCTATACAATTCCATATGAATATTGATCCCATTGTAAAAGTTCATATTTAGTTCTTATGTATATAGGTAGATATAAATCTATGTGTGAATAGGATTCTAGATAATATACTGAACTACCAAAGGAATGAGGTGGATTTAAGAATAGCCTTCAAAAGTTCAAATTCAATCTATTCAGGAATATAGGAGGAAAGTCAGCCAAATGTTATAAAGCACAAATGCTGGTACACTGGGAAGATTCCTTTCATCCTACTACTTCTAATCCCATCCGTTCCTGGCCGTCCCCTTCGCAAAGATTCCAACTATGCACTGTCATGTCTAAAACTCAACCGTTTCTGATTCTGTATCCTGGGTTAAATACTTCCCTTTCCAAAGCCTCCTTTCAAATGTGTGAATATTACTGAAGAAAGGTGATTCTCAAAGTTCTGATAATTAAATTAATCCTTTCTAAATAGAGACCGCTGAAACAAAATGAGGGCAGTAAATGTCAGGTAGGGAGGTGGTAACTGGGAAGATGCTGGAAATAAGAAACACCAAAGAAACTGAGTTTAGGGAAATAGAAAAATATGTTGATGGGCAGAGGTGATAATTTTTACTAAACTTATACCCTTAGTTCCAAATGGTTCTGATAAAGAGCACATTAGTCAACAATTTTTACAGAAAAAGACCACCACATGCCCCCAGTCTAAGACCAGTGTTCTTGAACATAAATCCAGTATAGCACTTATACTTTTCTGCCTTCTCAATGCTATCCAAACACTGCCCTGAAACTTATAAGATTCATTCATCTTTCTCTCTTCTACTTTTTTCCTATTAGAAATCAAACAAACAAACAAACAAAAAACACACTTAAAGAAATATTGGCCAAAATTCTGAACTGCTCTGAGGAACATCAGAGTACAGGGTGCAAACAGATTAATTACTACAAAGTAGTCAAAATGAAATAGTCCTGAGGATTTACAAATAAGGACCAAACAAGACGACCTGTATGCTTTCTATTGGATAAAAACTAGCTATTGGATAACAACTAGAATTTCTTTGGAAAGATGAGTCCTATCTGTCTAATCAAACCTTATACAACTCTGTAGGTTTACTAAGATCAAGAAGAAACTTAAGGTAAAGTTTGTCTTAACTTGAAAATTTTTCTGATCCTATGCTGACTTGAAGAAACATTCAAGTGAATTGTATCTGATCTACAGAAGAAAAGAAAGTTTTAGACAATATAGTTTCTTGGGGTCAAATGAATAACTCTAAAACTCAACATTCATATAACTATTATTAATGTGTTAATATTCACTTAGGTTATTTGGCAGCTGGTTTTGGGCTCTGTGGCTTATCCAATGACTTGCATAATGGAAAACAGCACGTGTATTGTTTGCACATGACACCAGACTATGGTGGGAATCAACAAGGAGAGCCAAGAAATATCTAAAGAGATGTGGGTAATTAGCTGATTAGAAGTGGTCAGTAAAGATCAGTGCTTTCTAAGCAAACAACGTTCTGAATGGCAAAAGGCTACAGAGATCAGTGGGAAAAGAACATATTTGAAAATAGAGAAAATAACCCATATAGAAAATAATGGCTTCGGGATCAGGAACATGACATTTGAACCAAACGCTGCCATATGTATTAGCTATACTACTTTAGACAAATCAATTAACCTCCCTGAGTTTCAGAATCCTAATTTGTAAAATGGTGCTGTAATATATGACAGATTCTCATTAGTTTAAAAAATGAAAAAGATATGCTTTTAATATTAGGGAAAAAGTAAATAGGGAAAATGAAAAAGATAAAAGATTCTTCCTAAAATATAAGAATTACAGGAATAGTTATTTCAGTATGAGTATTAAGTATCCTGCTGTGGTTATGATCCTTTATTGTCTACAGCCAGAGTAGTGGACAAATATGCATTAAAAAGGAGAATGTTTGTAACAACTCTAAAAGTTGTTGGGATTTTTTCTTTCCTCTTGCGCATCATCCCTGACAATGTATTTAACCTTTTTAATTTTCCATTT